TCTGACGAGGTGCAGGTCGACAGCGACGAAAAGTGGAGAAGCCTGCATCATTATTGTTTTTATTATCAATGTTTATCATCATTATTTATATCTTTGTTCTTTATTTTCATTATTATCAGAGTCCATCTGACAGTGAATTCTCTCTCTTTCTCTCTCGGTTTTCTCTGTCTCTTTCTGTTTCTGTTTTTACTGACTCTTTTCTTCCACCCTTCCATCCGCCTATTTTCTCTCTCGCTCTTTCTCTCTCTCTCTCTCTCTCATGAATGACGACGAGGAAGAGGCAGAGTCCGGGTCAGCAAAGGTCGCATCCTGGGCCTGGCGAACTGACCTCATTGAGAAGTACAAGAGGACAGGCGACATGATACAGCTGGCTAGAGACGTGTCTTCGAAAGACTTAAGGAAACCAAGACATTGATACAGCTGGCTTAGACAAGGAAACCAAGACATTGATACAGCTGGCTTAGACTTAAGGAAAACCAAGACATTGATACAGACAAGGAAACCAAGACATTGATACAGCTGGCTTAGACTTAAGGAAACTTCAAGACATTGAGCACGATCTGGAAACCAATCCGTTGCTCTCGGAATTTCGTAGCCAAATCGACGAATTCGTCCAAGGTGTTAAACGCGATGTGAAAGAAGAGGATAGACAGCGAGAGAGAGAGAGAGAGAGAGAGAGAGAGAGAGAGAGAGAGAGAGAGAGAGAGAGAGAGAGAGAGAGAGAGAGAGAGAGAGAGAGAGAGAGAGAGAGAAAGAGAGGACTTCCCTGCTACCCCGTTGCATGATCCACCCAAACTGGACACTGTCTACAACTCCTCGGGTCGCCACGAGGTCTGCCGCGTGGCCCCGGACTCGAAGCCAATTCAAGCCACAGGATGACGGGCAAAGGGGGGAGGAATGAACGAGGAGAGAGAGAAAGGGAAGAAAAAGGAGGAGAGAAGCAGGAGAATGAGAACAGAGAGAGGGAGGGTCCTTCCTTGCCCTGACAGACTCTGACGACGAGGAAGGCAAAGTCCGGGACAGCAAAGCTCGCATCCTGGGCCTCGTGCACTGACATTGAAAAGTTTCAACCTAAGATACTCCCTCTCCATTTTGTCCCATATTCTCTTTCTCTTGTATTCTCATTTTATTACGCTTGTTTACTATTCAAAATAACGTCTAGACGTTACCTCGTCCTTTTTTGGCATTGTTTTTTGTTTTATTATATATAAATATATATAATATATAATTTATATATATATAATATATATTATATATATATATACATATATATATATATATACATATTTTTTTTTTTTTTTTTTACTATTTATTGGTATACATTATACTTTATTATACTATTACGATACGTACGGTAATTACAATAAATAGCTTGGGAAGTCTATGAATATCCCACGTGTGGATAAGACTAATTTATTTTCAGTATATGCTTGAAATACTGTTTTCACTAAGAGATGTAAAGATCTCTTAGTTCTGTTCATTACATGCCACGTGATTGGCCGAAGCCTACTAGATTGACTAGCGCCCTGTTGCCTACCATCAGAATGGATGCGATTGTAACTCGGTCGAAGCGGGTTGCTTCGTGAATCCCGGTCTGCCATCACCGGCAGACGCAGCGGCAGATGACCGCTGCTGAATGCCTTGCGATCGCATGTCAGCGAACCCGGGCCCTGGTCCTTGGAATCCCGTGACTCCTTAGTTCCCTTGGCCGAAGAGTCATCCCCGGACTCCTAGGGCTTTTCCCCTTCCTCTTCGCCGTCAGAAGCGAACCTGTCTTCCCAGTCTAGTTCGTCCTCTTCCTCGTCACTGGAGCCAGAGGACCCACGGAAGAGTTCCGTCGTCTCCTTCAGGAGAAAGGCGAAGTCGTCCATGTCCTTCTGCTTCTCCTTCTTGAACGACGGCTCGCCCCTGAACGTCGAAAAGCCCATGTCGATGATGGCCGCATGGAGCCGCGTGGAGCCCATGGTGACGCACACGTTCTCCGGGTGCAGGTCCCCGTGCGTCACCCCCGCCTGGTGCATGCGCTGGAGGCCGGCGAGCACCTGCTCGTGCACGTCGTCCAGGTGCTTCGAGGACAAGAGGTCCCTGGCGAGGCAGTGCCTGAGCGTGGGCCCGGCGTACCGACTCACGATCTTGAGGTCTCTGCCATCGAGGACGACCGCCTCGAGGTGCTGCAGGCCCTCGGTGCCCCGGACCTTGCCCAGCGCGCGCGCCTCCCGCACGAACGACCGCTTCTCGCCGAATCTCAGAGCTTTGATCACCAGCTTTTATGAATCGTTGGACAACAGGTTGGTGGAGCCGTAGCAGCCGGAGGCCAGGTAGGTCTCGCTCCAGCCGCGCGTGCGCTCGAGGAGCTCGGCCCTGGTCCACACGGGCACCTGGCGCGAGCGCAGTTTCTCCGCAATAGAATTCATCGCTGCTGCTTAAGCGCCGCCCGGGGACACGGGCNATATATATATAACATATATATACATACATATATATATATATATATATATATATTTATATATATATACATATATATATACATATATATATATATATATATATATATACATATATATATATATATAATATATTATATATATAATACATATATTATATATATTATATATATTATAATATATATATATATATATATATATATATATATATATATATATATATATATATATATATATATATATATATATATATATATATATATATATACATATATATATATATATATATATATATATATATATATATATATATATATATATATATATATATATATATATATTTACATATATATATAATATATATATATATATATATATATATATATATATATATATATATATATATATATATATATATATATATATATATATATATATATATATATATATATATATATATATATATATTATATATAATATATATATATATATATATATATATATATATATATATATATATATATATATATATATATATATATATATAAGGGTGTGTGTGTGTGTGTGTGTGTGTGTATTTCTATATATAATATGTATATCACACAGATACACACATACATACATACACGCAAATACACACACATAGACACATACATGTACACTCAGAAATATATACATATGCGCACATGCATACATATATACATATATAAATTTATATATTTTCATGTGTGTGTGTGTGGTGTGTGTGTGTGTGTGTGTGTTTGTTTGTGTGTGTATATGTATATGTATGTATGTATATATATATATATATATATATATATATATATATATATATATATATATATTATATATATATTTGTGTGTGTGTGTGTGTGTGTGTTTGTGTTTGGATATACGAATATATATGTATATATTCTGCATATATATATGTGTGTGTGTGTGTGTGTGTGTGTGTGTGTGTGTGTGTGTGTGTGTGTGTGTGTGTGTGTGTGTGTGTGTGCGATTGATTTCAATTCCCTCCGGTGATTGGGAGTACTGCGACCCCACTTTAGTAGACTGATAAATTGGCTGTAAATAACAGGGTTCCTTGGGGCCACTTTGCCACTTTCATTCACATGCAAATGAGGTATCTGTAGGCCTATACAGAAGGCGGCCTATGCCCTTCTCTTTGGCAGACAGGCAGAGGTACTCAATAGTTTTGCAGTAGTTATACTGCAATCATAGTGGGAATCCATCAGCGTGTGTGTGTGTGTGTGAGACGGTGCCCACGTCTGACACCTTAAAAACCTTTGTCTTAGCGGGCTTTGGTATAAGCTGCTTTAGTAGTAGTGGTCCTACAGACTGTTTAGCACAAACTATCCAGAAGGCTGAGACATTTACCGCAGATTTCAAGTCAACTTGGACATACCGTGACTGTTTTTGGTGAAACTGCTGCTTTCAACTACGAGGCCTTAAAAGCTGACTTCTCAAATACTAATTTTAAACTAGGAAAAAAATCTTTCTGATTTCTCAAATATAAATTTTGATGCAGGATTTAAAGCTTAGTATGAAGACAAGGGACCTCAGAATAGGTTTTTATTGAAACTACTCTTCTCTTTGGTGTGTTTTGAAGAATATTTGTTTCAGCTTTTGATTGATAATATCCAGATTTGATTGATAAATCCTGTTCACAAACTTAATTTAACTTAACTTCTGTCTCACTATTTTACCTTTTGTTGTTGTTTGTGTAGATCACAAGATTTTTGCATCAATATAAACTTTTTCTTTTTATTAACTGATCTTACAGTGATTGGATAATTTGTGTATGTATACACAATCATTCATTTACTTCTTCACACAAAACAGACTCTTATACTCAAACAACTGATTCACTCTCATTCATTCAGTCATTAATTTGATCATTCATGCACTAACAAAAAAAATATCAAATTATGACACTAACCCATGTGTCTCATTGTTTCAGGTATTTCTTCATAACTATTTCCTTAATTATTTTCCAACAAAATTAAAATAAACTCATATTGTAAGTTTAGAGATGATACTCTACAAAGTATGATCTTCAAATGTCATATTTCAAAAATAAAGCCACTGAACATGTATATTTTATTTACCTTAACCTTGATAAAAATACATATATGCATTTTGTCAATATAAAACGGGTAATATATTTACAAGATTAACCTCTAAGAAGCAACACATGAACTTAATAACAAGTGATGATTTGTCACTGTCTTTGAAGACAGTAATAGGGACATCCTTGTGTTTGGTATCAAACACGAGAAAACTAATTAACTACTCATGCAAGATACTGATCAGCATTTCATTAACCTCCTTAGGATTCATGTTGATACATCTAAACAATTCCTGTGCATCAAATTAAAATATATACACATTTTTGACTGTTAACTTAACTTTTATGTAACATTTGATTGTAAATGACCATAAATGACCATGTAAGATAAAAGCTAAAAATGTGTTCCCTAAGTGACTTTTCCTGCCGAGTCAATGATTCAGTCCTGGACCAATGTGGCATCTCTTGATCCAGTAATTCCCCAAGTTTCCACACCAGCAATCAGCTTACAATTTTTCAAGAAGTTCCATCTCTGCCAGTAACATATTTCCCATTTGCACAGGGCACCTCAGGATGATTACACCAACCTGTGGGTTATTGAGAAAATCAGGTCTTCAAAGGCGTTCTTTTATAAGAAATTATCATTTCTCATTACGTATATAAATGCGTAAGCTGCCCTAAAAAAATTATTGTCTTATTCACTTAGTTTCATACAATACAGATAGAGAAATACAAAGGCGTATGCTGTTGAGTGTGTGTGCCTGTGTATGAGTGTGGGCACATGCAAGTGAGGGTGAGAGTGAGGGTGTATGTGTGGGTTAGTGTGTATGTGATATGACAAAAACAGAAAGGAAAAGAACTTACATTCTCAAGGGCCTTAATCTTGTCTTCAGCACCTCTCTTGCCTCCAGAGATGATGGCACTGGCATGTCCCATGCTGCGACCAGGTGGGGCAGAAAGACCAGTGATAAAGGATGAAACAGGCTTGGCTTCAGGTCCCTTTGTAGAACAAAACAAATGAAAAATAATTTACTTTTAACTTGAGTGATAAACAATGATAAACAATATCAATTAAGTCCCAAATGTATCAATTCTTGGTACCTTCCCATTAATGGAATGATTAAAATCAGACTTAACAACTTAACACTTGGCAAAACAACTTAAAGCATTATGTTTTTTAAGGACTCACAGGTGCAGCCTCTTCAGCACCACCACCAATCTCACCTATGAGAATACCCTTTGCGTTGAGATCCTGCAACATAACACTTATAATTTGTTATAAGTGATTATTTTCATACTTACTTCCTCCTAATATTCAGCTTTTTTCAACAATTTATACTTTTTCCTACGAACTTGAAATAGAATTTTCAACTGCCTTGAAACACCACAATATTAAATGCAATTAATAATTCATGCAGCAACACTAGAGCTCAATCTCAAAATTGTATTTTGTATTTTGGTTGTCTTTACCATACATCTACACCACACAATTGAAATTTGCTCAATTCTTATACCTGTTTACCTTGAGGAAAGTGTCGAGACAGTCAATGAGGTTAGTGCTAGTGAAGGGGTATCCACCAATGCCCATGCTAAAGGTCTGTTTGAGGCCAACTTGGGTAGTCTGATGAACGGCTTGGATGTGAGGGTTCCAGATTAGGAGATAGTGCCAATTAATCCCTAATTGCAGATAAGGCCAGAGATAATGCCAATCTTGTCCTGAAAGTTGGAGAGGAAAATCTGTATAAATTTAATTAAATTGACTGTTAGTCTTACATTAGATAATAGCTATCATTTCACATCATTTGAAAGAGGAATATATTTAAATATGCAAGACAATTTGGAATACAGTTCATTATCCATAATAGAAAAGTATTTTTTCCTAATTTTCAACAAAGAACAATTTGAAACACCACACTGTTACAGCAGCTGCATTATGGAAAAAAAAAAAGTTCTCACCCTTTACCTATCAACCCAAAAACTGACCAGACAAAAACACTTAACTATAAGTTCTTTGGATAAGCCCAACATCTTCATGTAAAGACCACAAAAAAGCATCAACAGCCATAAATGAACATGAAATGAATCTACTACCTTCTCTGGGGCGATAATACCAAGATAGTTTGAACGGAAAAGCCAGCTCTTAGATTGGCGGAGAAGGGCGTGTTTGACCGTGACCTTATCCTGCTGTGGGATGACCTCCATGACTTTCAT